TTTTAAAAAATCAATGGCTTTTTGATATTCATTAGAACCATTGTATTTGTTATCTTTGTTAATACTTTTCATATACAATTATCCCTATATATATAATTTTATGTTCACTTTGTAGGTTTTTGAAAATTGAGATCAGAGAAAGAGAGATGGATAGAGATCATTCAAAGAACAAAATATTTAAGAAGTAAACAATTAATAAATATTTTTAATACTTTATTTTCATCAATAACAATTTATAAAAGAATTATTTAATCATGTATTTTTCTATATTTTATTTGAATCAAAAGAGAGAGAAGAAAAAACTTTTTTAACTTTTCCCTTGAACATGAATGATTGGAGTATTCAATATCAGTTGATTAACAAATCTAATTAATATTAATATCAATAAGGTAAATATGCGGATTTTTTTATGGTTACTATTATCCCTTTTTTTATTTTCTAATACTAAAAAAAGATAATCGTGTAGTTTTCCACTAAAAAATATCCACTTGCAGATCATCCACTAATATTTTTCCCATAAGAATATTCGATCCACTAAAATAAAAATAAAATGTAGGGTATTTATATAACATTTCTCAACTTCAGACACTGCAGTATAAAAATTCAAACATAAAATTGTTTGGCATTATTAACCTCCAAATAATTATTTTATTGTAATAAAAATACACCATAAAAAAAAAATAAATAAATATAGTAGAATACAAATAAATTTTTATAAGTTATTTTCTTTTTTTTTCCATACAGAATAACAGAAGCTGAATGGAATAAACAATTTCCATCTGCTGTAGAAGTTCCACAGATTAATTTTTTATATTCCTTGGATAACAAAAAGCAAGAACCATCATCAATTTTAATATTAGAAGGTAGATGTTTATAAATTGTGAATTCAGGAAGAATTTTATCAGAATAATTTTTTGTATAATCATTATCTTCTAATTCATTTAAAGTTAATTTAATATAAAAGGCTTCTAAAAAGGATTTAATTTCTGTTAAGATAGAAAATGCTTGTTTTGAATTCATTTTGTGATCTTTTTTATTTATTGTTTAATTGAGAAAAGATCAATTGAAGTTTTTTTGGAAGCAAAAAATCAAACCATATTTATAATCTCAGTTTTTTATTTTACATCCATTTTATTAATTGTCTTTAATAAAGCTAAACATTTTTATCAAACTAAATAATCTGATGACTTTTAAAATAATCATGTATTTTTCCTTTAGATTTGAACTTTTCACGTTCTTTATTTTTGTCAATTAATGGTGTTCATTTACCTGACAAGTGTTCTTTTAAAAAAATGATATTTACTTTGATTTCATCCGTATATAGATAGAATTTAGCATGGTATTTAAAAAATGTATGATTAATTTAATGTGATACGATTTTAAATATCATTGTTAATATTAATAATAAATATATTATTAATATCATGTCATTGTTAATATTAATATATTATATTAATATAATGTCTGTTAATATTAATAGCAAATTTTCGAAAAAATTCTTTTAAAAAAAAATACGGCAGATTATCAAACATTTTAGTGGATCGGATATTCTCACGGGGAAAAAAATTAGTGGATGATCTGCAAGATATTTTAGTGGAAAACTACACGATTATTAAAAAAAGAACCAGTGTAACGAAAAACTTTTATTATTATTATTATATGGGAATGGTTTTAGAATCTCAATTGCTAACAGCTAAGGCTTTTGGAAAATCATCATATTTATAAAATTATTAAGAGGTTTTTAATCAGAAGGTATTTCTAGAACAATGCTATGGAGAGAGAATCTTTGTTTCATACAATTTTTTCGGAAGTTGCAATAGACAGAAGTATTACGATAAAGAAAGAATATTCTGTATTTCAAATGAGTTTTTTAATGCCATTGGTATTTTTACACCATTAAATCTTTCCATAGTTCTAAAATATAATGTATATAATATCCTTTATTCAGATTTGGTACCCATATCTTTGAAAACGGAAGAGGAGTAGTGGTTTGAAAACAATATGTTTACTATGTTGTTTACATAAATTTCGGGAAATTCTGTATGTGGTATGCAGATCACAAAAAAAATCACATATAAGCAAACTTAATTAGTTTTGATTTTCTTAGAATGTCGCACACCCCAATGAATGATGCATTTTTACATGTGCTACACTAAATCACAATGTTTAATAAATACATTTGATATCATCATTGACATAACAAACAATTGCATCACCCAGGTAGTAATAATACCAAGGCCATGCATAAATGAAACTTTTAATAATACATGTCTACCCAGATCTCTGGGGTCCACAGAATAAATTACTCTTCCTGATTATCAATTATGAATAATAAATCTGATGTTGATTGCAGGTGCCAGATTTAATTGAAATTTTCCTACCACAAACATGCAAGATGGCACAATTAAGCGCAATTCAGCACCATAGAATTTTTTTCCCACAGGTGAAACAGTCTTAAACATGTTGGAAGGCTTTGGACAAAACATTCCCTTATCATCCCCTCAGACCAGGCTTGGCTGTTACCATATGGCATTGATAACTGATGAAGATTTGCATTTGGGTTATACTTCTTAGAATAAAGTTGAAGTTGGCACCTGCAACTGGTTCAAAATTCTGCAATGTGGAAGGTTGCAACCTGGGTTGCTGTCTTGTTGGTGGCATGCCTACTCACCAACAACCCTACCCCCATTTAAATAATAAATTCAATTGGTCAAATAAAAATCAAAGAGAAACAGATAATTTGGGAAAATGATTAATTTATATATAACATACCAAACAAAATCTGAACCATTTTATAACTTTTTTCTTGTTGGCCACATAGATGTATATAATCATGCGATAATTTTAATCTATACCCCTACTCTAAATTATAAAATTGGTTAGTATCTGAGAAATAGAGAATTTAGGAAAGTGATTATACAAAACAAACACTATTTTACAACTTTCCTCTTATCATCAGAGCCCAAATGCAATTTCAGGGCCACAAACCCTGCTCTGAATTGTAACCTCCTGTGGTTGAAACACTTAATATTCCTCCAGAGTTGCGACATGATCACAGTGCCATCCTTAGAGGTAGGATTGTTGCAGACAACTTCTCGGCCAACATGCCAGCAGCCTTCTCTGGTCTGGGAAGATTAGTGAAAGTGTCATTGACGATTGGTGCAGACTTGGTGAACTCCAGGGCCATGCTACCACCCCCCTGGAATTCAGTTGCATCATTGTATCTTCGGGGGATGAAGTCAGATTAGCCTTGTGTACAAAAGGAAGATGAGAGAATGACTGTAAAGAGTTCAAGGTAGCATGCATGCTTCAATGTTTGCAAATTTCCGATAATCAAATGTTGCATATTTGAATTGTTTCTTTTTCAACAGCGTGCTGCCTTGACATCTTCTTGTAATTATAATAATATTAATAATATTATTATTAATGATTACGAAAGGCAAAATATTATCAATGAAAATCTTGTAATTACCCAGCAAGATCTGCTCCGCGTCTTGATTCAAATTAAAATGTTTAAATGACATAAATATATATCAATACAAAAAATAGTACCTCTATTATTAACACGTTTTCTTTAGGAGAACCAAACCAAACCAAACAACACTCACGTTTTGTCATCTTGGACTCTGCCAAAAAATAAATTGTTTTTCCAAGAAAAAAAAAATCAATTCACGTCTGTCCTACCAAAAAAAACCAATAGGATAAATAATTGGTGTACGCGTCGATCAATCATAAACTTTTTTTCTTTTAAAAAAAATATGGAATCATCCAAAACAAAAAGAAAGAGAAGCAAAGGAAAAGAAATTGCTCAAGATAATAATGGGTAAGTGTTTTAAGGGTGGTGGTGGTTATCGCCCGCCACTTGTTGTCGTTACTCTAGTTATCATTTTAAAATGTTGTCGAAAGATTTATTTCTTAGTATCAAAACTAATATACGTTGATTTTTAACTTAATAGTAGAACAAAATTAACAGAAATCAAAGTAATGTCACAAATAATGAAAGAGGATCAAGTCAAAAAAGTTATAAAAAAAACAAACTCGATCAAAAACTGAATGCAATCAGTGGTAGCTCAATTGTTGACTTGCCGGAACGTAATAATTCTGCTAGTAGTAGTAAGAGTGGTATTAGTGATAATTATTCGGATGTTAGTGATGACAAAAGAGACTCGAAAGACTCCCGAGGCTCTAGGTTATTATCTAATTTTAATAATAGTCATAATAGTGGTGGTAATAATGTTGGTGGTGGAAAAACCAATAGTAAATGGTAAGTTTTATCAAAGTTTTTTTTATTAATTGTATGATCTTGGCTAATGTTTGGTGACTATTATTAAACTTTAATTTCTATCTAGTTTGTTAGATGATTGGTCTGATAAAGAAGATTGGGAACCACAATCAATTGAAAGATATTTAAAAAATTCTTCCTCTTCAAGTAAAGTAATAAAAGAAAAAAGCCCAACCAAAAGTCAAGTCTATGAGTGTCTCATTTCTCAAGTTAATGAAGTTCCTGATAATTTAATGATATCTTTTGTTTCTTATATTTACAATTATTTAATTTAATTACAATATATCTTTTATATTTTTAGAAAGAAAATAGGATTGCGAAAATTATAAAAGATGCAGTGAATGATGCATTTGCAAGACAAAAGATTGAAGAGATACCAGTATCAAAACTTTCACAAGCAATGATCATGAAAATTGAGAGCAAAATTGGTATACGTGAGATAAGGGTTAGTATTAAACAATTTCTGAAACTAAATATTATCTTTTATTTTTTTTACTTATTGTTTGACTGATTATCTAGATGTTACACGAAGAATTTGATGAACTTTTACCTCGTGATGTTGACAAATTTATTTGGAACATGGACATTGATGAACCCAAGCACATGAATGATATTAAAAATTGGTTTCAGGATGCATTGGGACTTCCAAAAAAATTTGTTATAAAAAATATTCACAAAGAAATAACATATGAACGTTATTTGCAGACAGCAAATGTATTATTAAAAGGCAAAGCAGATTTATCTATTGGTCCTGGTGGTACATCCTGTATCTGGGTTGAGATCAAAAAAGATGTACACCAAGGTGAAGCTCAAGCAATAGGAGAGCTGTTGATAGCTGATAAAATATTTGCTTTAGGTCCTATGGTTGTGTTAACGGATTGCGTAGAAAGTTGGATTATTTATTTTATAATCAAACAAGATGACGAATTTTATATTGCAATTGGTGATATAAATGATCGTGGTGTTGCATTAGCAATAATTAGGACTTTTCTACTTCAAGAAGAGCAAAAATACAATAATTTAATAAAAGGTGATTTAGCACCAATTATAGTTAAATTACCCACACCTTTTAGAAACAAGGCAAGGTTTAAGGAAACAATAGTTTGAAAAGGTATTTGGATTTTTCTTTTCATTAAAAAATCAAATAACAACAGCACATAATCTTCTTGTGTAAATTAAAACTGGCTTCTTCCTTTATGGAAATTGTTATAAAATAGGTTTGATTCAAAAATCGGTTTGGTTTATGGACAATTTTTGAAGAATATTAAAATAATGGGCTTTATAACAAAAAAAATGAATACAATTACTTGATCAATTTTTATCTATCTTTTGAATATATAGACGGTTTAAAGTTTACCCGAACAATAAATACTTATTATTTATTGGATGGAGTTAGTTGAGAGTAATTAATTATAAGTTTATTATTAATTGGACTTATCTTCAATATAAGAACAATTAATTTGATATAACAATATTATTTGAAATATTTGTTTTTTTTCTGAATAAATTATTTTTATTACTATTGAATTGAGTGCCTAAGGCAATAATATAAAAATGTTATAAATATGTCCCTTAATATTAACATGAACTTTTCAAATAAAATAAAGATGCTTTTTATCTGAAAAACAATTGGTTCTTCAAAATGTATTTTATAGCCTGATCCTCTTGTATCTTGAAAAAGAAATTTTTTCAAATCTTGGAGTCTAAAGTTTATATCTGAACTCCAGCCTCCTATTTGTTATTTGTATTGTCACCAATTAATTTTGGGAGAGCGTGTTTTAATTGATGATAACAAATTTTTATTAGTTTATGTGGATCAGAGTGAATAGGCTAATACTAATGAATTAGATTTATTAGCGAATAATTTTGTTTTAGTGATTTGATAAAAATGATTTATTTAATTTTGTATTTAGTTGAAACTAATTATTAACTTATTATTAAGTTAATTTGTTACAAAGTTATTCTTCGACTACAGCGAATTCTTGTTCCTTATTATTATATACATGTTAAATTATATTAATATGTATCCCAATCTGGGATAATTTTCATTAATTTCTACTAAATAAAGGCCTAATACTAATCATTCGGATAATTAATACAAATAAAAATAGGATATTAAAAATAAATAATAGATAAAATAAATAACTAAAAATAATAAATGCATCCAAATAAATAATATAAATAATTTAATATTAAGGGTAGAGTGTACGTAACACGAATTTTACTATGATAATTTTTTTGGCCGCCGATCATTAAAGTATTATAGTAAATAGTGTAGTCGCATATTAATATAATAATAATAATATCAGGATAAATTATTGTTTTATTGAAGGTGAGTGAAGTGGATAACAAGAAGGTAGAATAAGTTCAACAATTAACTATTGTTTGGCATTAGAAAATATTTAATATAACATTCTCCTTCCACTTGCTTTCTTTAACATTGACAAAAAATTGACAATGTCGCCCCAATAATAAAATAAATAGGTTATTATTATCATAACAAATATTTTCCTGCTCCTTCTCATGTTTCCCTATTTAAAATAATTGTGGCATTAATACATCTAACTTTCAATAATAATTAATGAATTGATTGATTATTTGTAAAAATACCAAGTAAAAAAAAAGGAATTCTGATTTTTGTTTCTAAAGCAAAAAGAAAGATTAATATAATTTCCACGAAAAATATTAATATGTAAAATAGAAAGATATATTATCTTGTTATTATTTTCTACTACCATCATTCAACTCTCCTAGTTGATAATGTACTTTGGCTAAGGTTGTGGGCGAAACTCCCCCAGAAATCAAACAGAGTTTGTTTAGACAGGTTATACATTAATTGTTTATTAGAGTTTTGCATCTGGGGGTTTTGTCAATCATCGTTTTAACAAGGTATATACTAATTGTTCATTAGAGTTGGAGTTTTCGGCAAGCAACCTTATTGTTGGCAAAGAAAAGTATTTCAAGATTTAATATTTATTATTTATTTAAACTGTTTGTTATATACTCGTTTGTTACAACAAAATTTGTTATTATTATAGGTTTAATAGTAATTTGAGAATTTTTAATAGTAATTTGAAAACTATTTTTGACTTTACATGTTTTTTTTAAAAGAACCTTTTAACAAGATATAATTTTTTTTATGACCATATGATTGGATACATATTAAAAAAAGATTAAACATCTTACTACAGTCAGGGATCTTTCCAAATCTGGAATGTGGCTAATACAAAACAATTTCGATAAAAGTAGAATTTATGACGTCATAATTTATATAGAAAAGTTTTTTATTTTGATTTGAACCCAAATGTGGCACAGCATCAATATTAGTAATTAAAATTGATATTAATATTAAATGACAATTATAAGATGTCAGAGCATTGTCAATGAAAAAACGATTCGATAATGAAAATTTCAATATGTATTAATTATCGGAAAAATCCAAACGTTGATGCACACATACGCTGCCTTTGTATGAAAGTTCAATAAACAATTATAAAAATTATAAAAATTATGCAAATTTTGATTCTCCAATAATATTATTATTAATACTTCTCCTTAAAGTTCCTTTTGATTTTTGTAATCGTTATTGTTCTCTTCATCCTGTATTTATTTATTTTTTCTTGAGACGTTTATCATCACATTCCTATTTATTATATAAAAAATATATATTAGTAAAAATTTATTCTCTGAAATGCATTCTAATCCATCAACTTTTCCTCATACCTCATTTAAGAGATTGTTATAATCTACACACTCATTTCTGAATTCTTTAATATTAGACCATAATATCGTGGAAATGTTTCTTTCCTGTAGTATGTTCCCACATAATAATACCAAACCTATAAATATCTGATTCCCATTAATATCGTATGAAAAAATATTATCACTGTGTAATCATGATAGTGTAATTTTTTTCATGAACTTCCTTTAATCTAATATAATAGTAATAAATAAACAAGTATATATATATAGCGTTAATCATTTTAGTATGTTAATTAAAAAATAATAATAATAATAATAATAAATTATTAATGGGTGATTGATTATTTAATCGATTAACCTTTTATTCTTTCTAATTCTGATAAATATGTTGATCTGATGAGGTACAAGAGATTGTTGAAGAGACGAGTGATCACAGGAGAGTTGGTGTTTGGAAGTTAGATGTCTGCAAAGGTCGAAGGAAATTATTGCTTAAAAATATTTGATTCTAAGACCTCCATGGAAGAAATGATTTTCTAAAGATCCTATCAATAAAGACAATTCTCAGAAATAGTTAGTAAAATAGTTTATACGTTTTGTTACCAAGCTTCCAGATGCATGTTTCCAACGTTGATTAAGTTTTGTTTCGCAACAAATTTGAACTATTGGTAGGTAAATTTCTCTATTTTAAGTAAAAGAACATTTTGAGCAAATTCGTGGATTAAGAAAAACGGTGAGTGGATTAAGAAAGTATAAATATAAAAGCACTTATTTCAATTATTATAATGGAAGTTTTTTCAAAGGTCACAAAGGTCACGTTAAATCATTTGTAACATATAAAACATATAATGAATTGATCGACAAAGTGGCGTATATTACATTTCCAGATTTGGAAAGATCCCTGACTGTAATATGAATAATATCACTCCGGATTTTCGGGGTTATTGATCAGCGAATTAAGGTCAAATTCGCATTCCGGTGACAGTATGAAGTAATAAATGCTATTAAACCAATTTGGATATTTGAATTTGAACAAGTTTTTGAATTCAGATATAACAAACACTTGCTCACCTATGTTAAGTTAGGTAGTAAATTATTTCCCTTCCAATTTTCTTTTCTTCCTAAATTCTTCATGATTTTGTGGCAAAGTTCTTTACTGGTTATGATTTTTCTTTCTTCTTGGTAAATTTCATAAGTGATCCTTTCTTTTCTTAGATAAGCTTCCAGTGTTTGAGTGTCATTTATTTTAAAAATATAAGGAGCAATTTTTTCACCTTGTTCCTTCTTCAAAATACTTCTAATGGTGCTATAATTCTTGGGTTCCATAGTAGAACTGATATAAATGAGTTTCATCTTAACTATTTTTATACAGGGATAATTCTATATATCACTTAAGGTAACAAATTGGACTGTTAAATTATAATTACAATGCAATTGTGATAATAATGACTAAATTTTGATCCCTGAAATCCTTGGTAATACCAATGTTCACTTTGTCTGGTTTTGTTGCAGCATGCCCCATTTTATATAATATATATATGGATATACTAAAACATCGCTCTGTTCAAACGCAATCAATTCAAAAGATTGCAAATTCTATTGCAAAAAATCCAGGAAATGCTAAAACGCGCATTAATGGTGGAATTGAACCTTCTTTTCTGGAACAACTGTGGTCATTTATAACACCAGAACATACTGGGGTAGTTTCTTTGCATGCAGTCAATAAACTAATCTCTCTTGTAACTATAGGTGCTATACCATGGGAAGAAACTTTGAATCATTTGACAGATTTGTTATCAACATCTTCAGGCGACTCAAAATTTCATAACGTTATAATTACAGGAATAACGGATCTTCTAATTAATCATTTAGATGGAAATATTGATTCAGTAGAATATAAATCACCGTTCAATAGTAGGGCAAGAAATTATGAAGGGAAAATAGATCACCCTTTTATTATTGTTGCTAATTCTGATATTATTAAACTAGAAGAAACATGGTTAATATTGATTTCACATTTAGAAAGGATTTTTGATTTGTCAAGAGTAAAGTTTTCAGCATCACAACATATCATGAAAGAAAAGAGATCATTACATTATTTAATAAACTGTCTTGAAATGATGAAACCTTTCCTAGATTTTGTTATATTAAATGGCTTACAACAACATAATAAAAACTACCGGTCTTTAACTATTATACAACTGCTGATTCGATTAATGTATAAATATGGAATTTATGAGATATTTATCAAGACTTTGATGAATTATTTACTTTCAATAACACAAAGTTTATCATTTATTGATGATAATGTGAATACTTATATTATCATACAATCACTTGTGCAAATAATAAATATCAATAATAAAACCAATTCTATTCTTAATGAATGTTCATCAAATTTGCTTAATCAAATGTTTAATATCACTTGTGATTTAATCAACAACGATGACAATCTATCAATAACAACAACAAACAATTATATTCCTCTAATTTATCAACTATTAATATTAGATGATGGAAAAATCCGTAATATTATTCCAACGTCAAACTTCAATCTTGTATGGGCATCTTTATCTTATTTATTATTGATCACTCAATCATTTGATGATCAAAATTTGATATTAAAAATTATGGATAAGTTAATTGAAGAAAACTTGAAAGTATTAAATATCAGCAATAGTGACAGTGATAACAGCGATGGTAATATTAGCATTAATAGTAATATTATTAATATAGCAATATTACCATTATTTCAAGTCATTGCAGATTTAGAAAAAGGAGAAATCAGAAATTTAGCAATGGTAATTCTTTTCAGATTACAAAAATTTCAAAATTTAAAAATTAATCAAAATTTTTTATCTAAAGAGGTAATTATCACAATAATTAATATAAAATGATAACAATGACATAATAACAATAACAATAATAATAATAATAATAATAATAGATTTCCAATTCGTCAAATATAACAGGAAATCTTGCAAAGTTATCATCAGAAATATATAATTTATCATCATCAACTTTTCAAAATAAAAAAATTCAAAAGTCTAATAACACACAGATTAATTTATTGTTTCACATTCCATATTTATTTCATGAAAACGACACAAGTAAAATTGAAGCTTTGGATTATCTTACATCAGTAATAACTGAAGATATGCAAATGGCAAAATCATTAAAATTGCCAATATTTTTGTTATTATTATACATTCTAAGGAATGATATTTCATCATCTATTCATCTTCATATCTTGTATGATTCTTTACCATCATTAATCACAAGAAACGATCCAATTATCACAACTAAAATTTTTAAAGTTATCACTAATATTATGCAAGAGGAAGAGTTAAATTTAAATAATAATGATGGTATTTATTATTATAAATTATCAACAATTGGTATAAGGGTTTTATTTAAATGCTGGAAAAGACAAAAAAGATGTTGGGAAGCTTTAATATCTGTGATAAGTAATTGGGTAGAAGATAGACTACTTAAGACTTCAATTGATATTAAAAGGGAAGATTTTGAACTGGAAATATCAATACTGAGTACTATCAGGTTTGTTATATATATATATATATATATACATATACATATATATACACGTGTGTATTTATATATATTTATAAAATTTATAAAATTTATTTATTATTATTAATAGAGATATTTGTAAGATAGATGCAGTAAATTATTCTGAAGAATTAATTCCTTTAATATCAAGTTTACTTCAATCAACAATATTACATCCAATTAGTTTATGTTTAGTAATTGACACTTTAAATACATGTATTGAGGCCAATGCTGCAGATATTTATGAAGGTTTATTATCATGACTATGACTATTATGATTATGATTGGTTTGATTTACTAACAATAAATATATTAATTATTTCAATTTTTCATTATAATAGTTTGGAATAAATTCATTATTTATATTGCAGAAATTGTGAAAATAAATAAAATTTCAAATTTACAAGTAATTAGTATGTTATGTAATTTTTATCAATTGGTAGCGAAACATGATGATGGTAACTTTCTTTTATATATAAATTACATTATTTAATAATAATGATAACAATAACAATATTTTTGTTTTATTTAGATTGTGAAGAATATGAAGAACTTAAGAATGAGGTTTTATCAAAACACATGTATCCATTAATTTCTACTGGAGAGGCCCCAAATAGCTTAAAAGATAAAGAAAATGACAATGTTGATGATGAACAAGAGAAAAAAAAACCTTTTGAGTTTCAAAAAAATCAAGAGATTTTAAAATGCGCATTAAAAGCATTATCATTTTTTTCTGCAACTTGTATCCTTTCAACAATTTTTTCCAAGCAACCAAAGATTATTGTTAATCAAATAAGTCATTCTAAATATTTAAGTCAGATTGATGAATGGAAATTTGTGCTGAGTAATTTGATTTCTTATGAAATTGAAAATATGAGTCGTACATTATTCAAAGGTAGAACCAAATTTACTGGAAAAGGGATAGGAGGAGCGGAAGACAGAAGAGATGAAGATGAAGATGAAAAGAAATTACAAAAAGTTAAAGGTAGTTTGTTTTCAATCAGTTCAAAAATTATTGAATCATGGGAAAGTGGAAAGGTTGTGCCAGGATTAAGAGTTGGCTATTCATTAGCAACATTAAATTTTTTCGAATAATCATTACCATTATCATCCTCAACAATGATACTTGATAAAGAAGAGCAACAAAAAAAAGATGACCTTGTAAATAAAATAGAATTTATAAAATCAACTAAATTTTATAAATTGTTGATGAATGTAATTCAAGATGTTAATTTAACAGATCATTGGATGATTAGAATTGGTGTGATTGCTGAATGGACTAAATTTTTTGAAAATGGCTTACAAGAAATTTTTTCAATAACAATTAACAGTCAAAATAATTTTGATTTTAATAATGAAGAAGAAATAATAAATATTTTAAAAGATGATTTGATTAAGTTATTATCTGAAACTAGTGTTCCCACCATATTTCAAAATGTTATATTTGCAATTACCGGTATTTAAATATAAATATAGATAAAATATTTATTTATTTAATAATAATAATAATAATATTTGTTGCTATTACAATTACTATTTTTTAGGTCTATGCTTAGCTTTGAGATCACTTAATAATGTATCAAAAGAGCAATATGCTGCAAATATTTTAAGATGTTTAAGAGATAATTATTTTGTTGATGGATCATTTCAAGACACTGTTGAAAAACATGAAAATCAAGATATAAGCTTGATTACAAGTGATGAAGTACAATTTAGTGTTATGATTTCTTTAGGATATTTAACAACCTTGGTACTGATGGATGAAAGATTTACACAAGAAATTATTAATTTGTTGGTTTCAAAATTAATTGATGATGATAAGAGGTAAAGAAAATTTTTCTTTTGTAAAAAGATAATATATTATTATAAATATTAATATAAATATATCTTTATATGTTTATATTAAGCTCAATATTTGTTTGGACATTATTTGGAGCAGGTTATGCTATAGGGGTTATTTTATTTCAACAGGCATCATTTCCCACTAGAACTCCTGAAATGGAAAATAATTGTTCACAAACAATTCAATTCCTTGAAGAATATTTTTTTCAATCAAATAATAACCCAGAAACAGAATCACCAGTATTATTGATTGATTCATATTTAGGTTTTATGCTTGGATTATCAGGGGTTAATCATGAAGAAGTTAAAGAAGTCAAGACAATTTATCAAAAAGCATTATCTGATTTAAAAAAGTTTGTCGAGTTAAATGGAAAAGTTGAAAATGATCATAAGCGGCGGATTTTAGGTTCAGCTTGGTTTGTTGCATTTTCAAAATTTGAAAGATATGATGAAAATATTATTGAACTTTTTGAAAAATTAACAAGTGTTACCACATCAAAGGTATAATTTTAATTACACACACACACACACACACACACATATGAATATTTATATTATTATTATTTATTATAGGGAGAATGGACTGGATATGATGTTCATTTTACTCAAACTTATTGTTATGTATTACAAACTGTTCTATTAATCATACCAATAAGAGCAATATTACCTAATTTACAGAAATTTAATGCCCAATTGAGCTCTCAAATAGAAGTTCTTTCATCACCAGGATCTAATTCTAAAAAACGTCAGAATGCAATTTTGGCTTTAGGTTCTTTATCAGGGGTGATATATCCACACAATTTTTTTTATGAAAAGGCCAATTCATATTTGTTTAAATCTAGACCATTTACAGTGATCAATCAAGTATTGGATACATTAAAAAATATAGCAGGTGTACCATCATCATCACCATCTAGTACTGTTTTTGCTGGAGCAGCAGAAATAATGATTAAAGATGTGAAAGGTGCAAGGCTGGCAGCTATTATTTTGGGCAAGATGACACAAAGTGTTGATAAACTTTTAGTTGAAAGTAATGATGTTCTAATAAAATCAGTATCAAAAAATATTGCTGACACAGAACCTAAAAACTATTCTAGATTACCTAATTCAAGCTATTTGAAATTTTTATTTGTAGCATTAACAGATGTAACAGATATTTTTTCAAGTAAAAGTCGCTATGTATATATGAATTCTCCAGAATCTACTATATCAATAGAATCAGCACAATTGTTTTTTTCAACACTTATGAATGTCAATCAAGTTTTTCCACCAGTAAATTGGTTCCCCTTACTTGTAGAATTTAATAAACCAAACTTTAAACAATTTAAATTGCATATTGAAAGTATTAAGTTTGCAATAAAATATTGTGATTGGTCAGCATCTTTAACAGAATACCTTATGTATGTATTAATGAAATTCCCTGATATTCAAGTTATATCTGATGATGGTGATGATTTTAATAGTGGTGACTTAGGATTTGAAGAGATACTTGTTAATGATGGAATTGCTAAAATTTTACAACTTTATGGATTTGAAAAAAATGAAAATGACATAATTACAGAAATCAAAAGGCCAACAACATCTTCATCATCTTCAGTTGCTATTAAGCAAAGGCGAGGAATCAATGACATTTTAAAAAAATCAACAATTCATGATTCTCGTCTTTTAGAAATCTTTGATGTTTTATTTGAAAAGTTATTTGAAAAAGTGGAAAATAAATATTTAAAAATTATTAAGGTTTTTGAATCAAATAATATTTTGCAAATTATTTATTTTTTATGAATTATTGTATATCTAATCTTTCTATTTATTATGTATTGTAGGGATTACAGATAAAATTTCTAAGAACGATAAATTATTATATTCCATCAAATGACAAAACATCCAACACTGAAGATTATTTGACCATAACCCAACAAGAATTAATTAAACGATTAAAAAAACATTTCTACAATTTTAAAATATCAGATTTGAAAGAACAAGATGTTTACATAATACAACTGTTTACAAAAACTTGTATGTTTTCTAATGATGATATTATAAAAGGTGATCAGTTGTATGAAAATGAGGAAGAATTCAAGAAATATGTTGTAACAATTTGTACAATGGTCCAATTGAATCGTGTAGATTCAAAATATCTTATAAATTTATTACAAGAAAGTTTAGTAATGATAGCAAAACAAAATCAAGAAAAAGATGATGATTATGATGGAAATGATATGATGGAAATGATGGAGTCACACTCATCTAATAACAAAAATATTTTAATATTTTCATGGATTCTTTTTACCATCCATTTTGACATATTCAATAATACTAAAAAATCAAACAAAAAAAAAATCTTGAGATCAAAATTAGAATGGCTTGTCAACTTGATGGATGTTTTGATTATAGTAACCAATTCTCCTAATCAAGAATCATCATCAATTAACAAAATATGGTATTATGGCATTAATTTGGTGATGAATGGTTTAATTAATTTAAGTTGGTGTGAAGATGATGTTAACATTGATAATATTATTGATGGTAATAATGGTGGTGCTACTACCCTTGCTAATGCTATGATCAATTCATGTTTTATTGATTGTCAGATATTTGATGAGAATTTTATGAGAATTTTCAATAATCCTGTTATTGTGAAACAACTTCCAAATTTAATTATCAAAGAAATTCAACAATCAGTTGATATGGATGATAATGGGTTTAACACATTAAATGAAAAGGTAGAAAATTATTTTTGCATTTTTTTTTTTTTCTAGAAAACTTAAAATTAAATTCTTTATATTAATCCGAATTTTCTCTCAAAAAATTTCAGGTAACTAAAAGATTTCTACAGTTATTTGAAAATTTGAGGAAAGATAAGGCAAACGAGGCAAGCCATATATTTTGGGAAATTTTAAATAGATTGAGATCACCTAAAATCGGGCTTATTTCAGATAATGAAAGTTGGGTATTATTTGAATATTAAAACAAGTTTATGAATATGTGAATGCAATGTGAACTTTTAATTATCATTATTATTTAAAAAAAGTAGGTCAAGAGATTTGTTTAAAATTAGAATTTGTTTCAGTAATAAAGATTATTATTATATTTTAAGAAATGGTCAAATCTTTTTTCAATTAATTGTGATAAAACAATCAATCAAAAGTGCAATAATTCCCTAATTCCAACAAAAAAAACTAATGTCTATTAAGCAATAATAGTCATGGTTTGAATATCCACAATCAATTTAAATGATGGATTTGGTTCATGCAAGGGTTAGACGATGGTTTTAACGTGGTTTAATCCAGATAATTCAGTTATTGGTGTTTATAACGAAGAAACTTTTAATAAATAAAGCTTGAGCGCAACTTTGTTTTGCATAAAATTTCACAAAAAGCACATACTAATTACTAATTCCAGATAAAGTGTCCAATCAAATTCGAAGTGAATTTTAACTAACTCGAATCAAATCAATCCATCGGAGCTTTAATCATATTAATATTTGTGCTACTGCTCAAAAATCAAAAATTGTTAATCTCCTTTATTTTTATTTCTATTTCAAACAATTTCATAATAATAATTAAAATCTACTACAACATCAGAAAAAATTTTCATTCAAATGTTTTTTTGATTCAAAAAAAAAAGAATTAAAGTATTATTATTTATCATAAATAAAAAATAGTAAAACCCACTTTTCCTTTTCTCACTTTTTACAAATTTTTCTAAATCAAACATGTATATATACTTAAAAAACTTCAACTCCTTCATTAGCGTAACTCTCTTCGTCATCATCTACAGAATCTCCTTCATTCTCGTCGTCGTCATCATCATCATCATTATTGTTGTTGTTGTGTGCTTTTAGATTTTTTTTACTGAATAAATCCTTTTCCATTTTTTTTAAATCCTTCATAGCTGTACGATACTCTTTACATAATGATCTTAATTTTTCCTCTGCTTCCTCATAAAGCTTCTCTTTGGCTTTTTTATCAAGATCAGGATCTTTAAAATTGAATCTGGAAAGATTCGTTCGCGCTTCTTCACTCAAATTTTCGATTGATATTTGTGGAATGAGTGGAATTTCTATTTTAAATGCATCCGTTGAATAATTATTATGTTCTTCTTCAAACAATTCTAAATTATCATGAAAAAATAATAATAATAAAATTATAATAATTATTGTTTGTCTTCTATAATCCATCAATGATGCATATATATATATACCTTCAATTGTAACATCTGAATACGTTTCAGTTTTGGAATCTTCATCCATCAAATCAATTTCTGAAGTGTGTCGCAGCTTACGAGATTTTGGCGCGATGTAATAGGCGGAATTATGATGAGTAGTAATCTTGGTAACATTTTCAAATTCAGATTTAAGTGAAATGCTACTATGATTTCGTTTCATAGATTTACGATTATAAGATTCTTTTTTATGATTATGTATGTCCATCGTCGAAACTGAAGTATTGTCGTCATCACCGTCAACACCAACATCGTCATCATCATCAGAATTACAATTAAACTTTTTAATATTATTCAATTCATTGGTAGTATTTACAGAATATGAGAAAGTTGTTGATGATGACGACGATGACGATGATGACGATGACGATGATGATGATTTTAAGTAAGCATTTTTGCCTTTATTATTTGAAGTGCGTGATGATTCTTTGTTGTTACTGTTAAGTTGGTGCGTATTAGCTGATTTGGATGAGTGACGATTGTGATCATTGTTGTTACAATTTGATTTGTTTTTAATTTGTCGAATTGATGATGGAGGCGTGATATCAGAAAACCTTTTGGTTTGTATGCTGTCTTTATTTTTATATTTTTTATTATTTGGTTTAGATGCTGCAAATGACCTACTTATCGCCCTATTATTTGTAGTAGTAGCAATAATTCTGCGGTTAGTTACCGACCGTTTGTTATCTTTCGTTTTTCCAAGTGGATTTTTCCAATAATCCCATTGAAAACTTTTAGATGGTTCGCCATTATTTTTTATGCATTTGAGAGCTCTCTTAACTCCAATATGATCAAGAAATCCTTTTTTTTTTACAAAAGTCAAGTAAGGCTCATCACCCAACATGAAATGCTTTAATCCTTTATGCTCTACTACAGAACTTTTTAAAATTATAAATTAAGAAAAAAAATACATCAAATTAATATATGAATATATGAATTGTGCACATACTATGTCATATCCTCGAAATATTTTACAAGAAAATTTCCTTCTAGTAACAAATGATCAATATCACAATCAAAATCCATGCTCTCGTCAAGTTCGTCATTTGGAACAATCTAGGTTTTTTAAAAAAAAAAATAGTGAATCACAAGTTTTAAAATTCAAATAATCTGATAATTCAAATAATATAGAAAATTACCATTGCAGGCCACCAAAAGCCAGCATTTTTATCCAAAGGATCAACTGTGTATATATATATAAATGCGTGAGTGAGTATATTCTATTAATTCAAACAATAACATTATATACTTGAATAAAAAAGAATATTACCAAAAACGACATCTCTTCCTTTAAAATCTTGTACCAATGATTCATTACTATTCAATGTTTCTTTTGAATGACGCAATGATTTTCTAGAAGGTTTGCTAGGTTGAATAATGACTCTTTTTGTTCTTAAGGTTCTTGTAATTTTAGGTGATTCTGTTTATTGTTATTAATATTTTAGAGAATGGCTTATGTTAGTAAATTCGACACAATAAAATCTGAATAAATATGTACATTACCTTCTTCTTCCAACTCCTCCTGTATTTCCTCTGCTTCCTCATCTTGTTCTTCTTCATTAGAGTTAAAATCGTAATGAGATTTGGATTGAGATCTATTGCGAAAATTAGTTTTTCGCACATGATTTTTATTCCTTTCTTCTTCCTCTACCACTTCTTCACTTTCTTCTTCATGTATATATTTGCCAGTTTTAGACTTTACGCTTGTTTTGGTTTGAGATAATTTATTACGAAATTTAGGTTGTGGTTTATTTACATATTCTTTTTCTTCCGCGCCTTCTTGCTCCTCCTCATTATCTAATTCCTCCTTTTCATCCTCGCCTTCGTTGTCAGCTTTGAGTTTTTCAAAATTTTTTAAATGAGATCTATTACGAGATTCAAATTTTTGCTTATTTATAATCTTAATTTCTTTATTTTTTTCTTCTTCGTCTTGCTTTTCTTCAGTATCATTTTCCTCATCCATATCATTTTGCACATGGCTATTTACAACACCATTCATTTGATCATCAATTTGACTATCTTGGAAATCAATTTGTAGCTTTTTTTGTGTTGATATAACACTAACGCTAGAATTAATAATAGTGTTAGAACTGGCAGTAATAATATTAATTTCATCCACAACTTCTTCTTTATCCAGTTCTATCAACGATTGTTCAACGAGAGTAGAATCGTCGTCATCGTCGCCGTCGTCGTCGCCGTCATCGCCTTCGTCAAGATTTTTATCGGCATTATCTTTTAGAAGATCATCCTCAGTTTCAATTATTTCGGAATTGTTGTTATCGAAAATAGTTTTATTATTACTCTTTTGTTTTTTATTTTTCTGCTTCATTTCATTAGATTTAAGGGTTTTTTTATTTCGTAAACTAATAATAATTAACAAGAGACAAAAAAATAATTTTAAATTAGGTTCAAGAGTATATATTTAGACATTAAGATAAAATTATAATGATATTTTTGGAATGAATAAGCAATAGATGTGTATTTATGTGTGTGGTTGGGCGTGTATGTATACAATATTTAAAAAATAGCTTTATTATTTTTTGAAGAACAATAATTAATTACTTTTTAATTGATCCTTGTGAATTTTCAGTTTCTTCGGGATGTGGTTGAATGGGTGGTATGGAGGCACCTGTGTGGAAGAACTCACGACGAAGACGCTCGTTTGTGCAATACCACAATTTACCGGTACCGTTCTTTTTTAATAATAAAAAATTAATTTGAGCAAAGTAATAATAAATAAGTAAAAAGAGAGAAAAAATATAAAAATTTTTTTTTGGTAAAAAGTTATTTATGAAAATAAATAATTTTAGATAATGATAATAACAAAATTTGTATGTGAATAATATGAATAATTTTTATAATTTTTTAGTTTTTATAATAATAATAATAGGATTAGAAAAAATAATTTAAAACGTACTGGCGAAGACGTCACAGTGGTCATGACTGTGCTCAAAGAGAGATTCTTTATATATATAATATATATATATATATATATATATATTTGTATTTGAAATAATAAATCATTAATACTATTATTATTATTATTATTGTAATGAAATTCGATAATAAAGAACAAAAATATCTAATAGTATATATATGAGAAAATACCTTTTTTTTTTTGAAAAAGAAAAGTTGAAAAAAAATGATCCCAATATTTATATTACTGGTTGATGAAAAACATGATTGGCCAGTTGGATTTTTCGTACAACGATCCCGGGGCACACTAAAAACTCCGTTCTTTATTTTGATTGGATAAAAATATGACTATCCTATACTAAAAAGGAGAGGTGTAAGAGCCACCCAACTTATTGGGAATCAAAAAAGAAATATTAATGTTAATACATATATATATTAAATTTATTTAAGGGAGGATTAAAAAGGATAGATTTTTGAAGATTATCGATAATCTTGAAAATAATCCAAATTTGATTGTGAATCATGTTTCTAATTTTTGAATTAAAAAATTGAGATTTAAAATTGGTTTGTTTTTTTTACATGCGCGACAATTTCAAAAAAATTATATTGAATATTGTTACACGGAATCAAAGATTAAAAAAAAAAAAGACCCAAATTTTTGATGTCATTTTATTACAAAAGAAAAAACCAAGTTCATTGGTTTGTGAGGATTAGTGTTGACAATTTCCCGGTTTACTATGTATCAGTATTTTCAATAATAGACTTCCTTGGCCAGCAAGTAATGACAATAATAAGAATCAAGCTGATTTATTTTATTAGGGTAGGGAA